GCGGTACTAGAAACCTCAGTTCGCCAGCACTAGTTGGTTCTTTTGTGATGACAAAGTTCAGACAGTTTACCCTTCGAGCCTCTCTGATTTTGGTCGGAAATGTGATATTCTGTAAAGGAAGCAGACGGCCTGGAATCAAAGGAATTATGAGAACCGTTTACTAATAAATTGTACTAGTCGACTATCGGCACATTGAAGTCTCCGTCAATCAGTATCCCTTGGTCTTGGGCCGCCTTTTCAATAAACCGAAGTATCGCCTTGCCAACCTCTGGAGTTTCACTGGACAGCATGTATACGGTGAGAAAATTCAAATTGGGTGCGCCACGCATCTTTGGTTTCAACCACATGGTTTCACAGGCACGGTGGTCGCATCTCCCTTGCCCCATACTCGGACGGACTCGGATGAATGTAACCGACCGCATCTGGGTTCCTATCGCCTCGAGACTGATTTTCATAGTGTCCTCACAGAATGCGCTCCATCGACGCTCTTGGCGAAGCCTTCTGTATTCGCCATATACTAGTAGTCTGGTCGCATCTCCCTTGCCCCATCCTCGGAAGAACTCAGTTGAATGTAACCAACCGCATCTGGGTTCCTATCAGTTCAAGACTGGTTTTCAATTTCGCCACTTATTTATCTTATTCAAGGCCACATACAGGCCAGTCCTGACCGACCCGCCTACTTACCCCTTAATGAAATTCGTTATACAATGCCATATACAGCTGACATTTATTGCGGCCCTGTTGATGTCCGACTATATTCCATTCTATACCGCCACATGCAAGCCAGTCCTGCCCGCATTATTCTGTTTCTATTTTTTTCGAGGGATTTTTGTTCTCCTGTAAAATAAATCCAATCATTTTTAAATTTTGATGTTGAGTTTTTTTCATCCCTCGCTTACCACTTTTCTTAACGGACTTCTAATTCAAAAACTGTGTATTGCACTTTGTACAGATTTTGCCTATCTCGTGTAAAATTCGCATGTACATTTATTTTTACTTGCTTTGATGGGACCCCGACGGGTCTTTAATTAAAATGGCAATAATAATTACTATCATTATTAGTCAGTTTTGTGTTCCGACGCGACGACTCATTTCTTGACAAAGGTCGCTAGTCCTTCTCTATTTTATGAAGCCTGCCTCGGCGAAAAAAGTTGATATTCATCGAGAACAACTTCAGGATACAAGACTTCGGCTTGTACTCAAGTCTCTGCAAAGAAAACTATATTAGATCTTTGGATGGGAGTGGCTTCCTCACTTGTAGCGATGCAACCATTCTTCGTGATGTCATGTGCAATGTTTCCAAGGATATTCTAGAGTTTGTGCCGCGTAGATATCTCAAGCCTACTTCTTCAGATTTCCTTGTTCCTCATTTTCTTCAGAACAGACTAAAAATGTTGAGGCGACAACTGCGTGACCCATCCACTAGTTCCTTATCTGTTCATCTTAGAATCACAGAGATTTTTGAGATGGCCTCAAGGATGCGCCAAGCGCGCGACAGGCAAAGAGAATCAATTGCTCTCAGTGGTTCGAACCCTGGCAAATCCGTCGTTAACATCTTCCGTCATCGGTCCTCCTCTAAGCGTGGTCACGAACTTCCACCCCTGCTAAACGATAACAAAGTCTTCCTCACGGATGACACTGACAAGGCGGAGTTGCTTAGTGCTTTATTTGCAAAACACCTTGCTACCGAGTCCGATCCGGTCCCTTTCTTCCGATCACTTTCAGATAGCACACTTAGTAAAATTGATGTCTCCTCAGATCACATTAAGAAACATATAAGCCGTTTGAAATACTCACACTGCTCTGGAACGGACGGGATTCCGAATTCGATTATTAAACAAGCGTCCGACCTTCCCATATTGCTGTCATTTATTCTCGGTTTATATTTCAAAAGGATTCTTTCCTGAAACATGGAAAACGTCAATTATCATTCCCGTCTTCAAGTCTGGATCTCGGTCTGGTGTTAATAACTATCGGGGCGTGCACAAAACGCCGTCTCTAGCAAAACTTCTTGAAAAGATTATTTTCAATGAAATTCTTGACTTCTCTGTAACTTATCGGCTTTTGAGCTCTAGTCAACATGGATTTTTACCTGAACGATCCTGCGAAACTTGCCACCTTAATTTAATCACTTCTCTTCGTAATGAGCGGCAGTCAGTGGTAGTTATCTACTTTGATCTTAGCAAAGCCTTTGACAAGGTGCCCCATAGACGTCTTTTAGTAAAATTGGAAGCCCTCGGCATCCGGCCGCCTCTACTCGACTTCATCAGGTCCTATCTGTCCAACCGATATCAGAAAGTCATGGTCGGTAATAGCTACTCGACACCTCACTCGATCACGAGTGGCGTACTTCAAGGCACGGTTCTGGGTCCGCTACTCTTCCTTCTGTACATCAATGATATTTCGACTGAACTCGGAAATTCGCAAACTTTTACTTATGCCGATGACCTCAAGTTTGTTTACTCATACTCAAAGGAGACTGCAAATCTTTGTGTTGAGAAAATTAATGCCGATTTACCACGCTTCAGGAGATGGGGTTCGACATGGCAGATGGAGTTTTCATCATCCAAGTGTAGTTTCATGTCTTTTGGTACTGCCAAACTTCCCGGTGCCGTAATTTTTCAGAAAAACCCACTCTCAGAATGCCTCACTATAAAGGATCTAGGTCTAAGTTATACAAATAAGCTTGCTTTATCACCTCATGCAGATAGAATCTCTGCCAAAGCCGCGCAGATATGTGGATTCATATTGCATAATAGTTTACCTTCCGGAAATGAAGCTAAGACTTTATCAAATGTTTGTTCTTCCAGTCCTCGAATACTGCTGTCCTTTCTTCGGTTTAATGAGCGCCTGCGACCGTAATAAAATCGAAAATGTTCAGAGGGTTTTCACTCGGTAACTGTTCTCTCAAGCTTCGTCTGGTATTTCTTATACTCAGAGATGTCAGCTGGCGAACATTAAGTTTTTGTGGGTTAGAAGACTCGAAGCTGGCCTTTGCTTCCTTTTTCGCATCAACTCTAGCTCCAGTCTTCCGCACATTGACACTCTCACTCCGAGAGATCGGTCTTATGCCACGCGCAACTCCTGCATGGTGATTCCGCCGCCTCTTTGTACTACATCTAAGCGCTCCCTCTTCTTTGCTTCCAAATATGCCTTCCTTTGGAATAATCTTCCGCCTGAAATTAGATTATCGCCTAGGTTACTGATATTCAAGTCGAAATTACGCAACCATCTTACACCGGAAAGCATAAAGGCACTGTTAACGGTCTCATTCCCGAACACTCAGATTCTTGACTTCGAGAAGGGTCCCCCTGGGATTTAGTGGTAGATTAAGTGGTAACTCTTAATTATATCATTAGAAACCCCTGTTTTGAATTGGGTTCTAAATACACTGCTATCACTCCTCCCCCACAGCGACAATTTTCGCGGTTTTTGATGTCATCTCCCGCATTCCGACCTCATGCGGTCTGGCGACACTCATGGCGGAACCCTCAGTATTCGCCGTCTACTAGTAGTTCGGTCGTACCTCCCTTCCCTACTGCTCGGCTGAGCTCGAAGCGTGCTGTGGCCGATCGCATCTGGGTTCCTCTCGTCTGGCCTCTTTGACGCGAATAATCTCATGCGGCGTATCAAGCCGGCCCAGGCGATGTCAATTTTCAATCCCGTATACAATACCAGATTCAGGCCAGTCCTGTCTGACCCGCATACGTACCCCTCAGGGCTGACATTTATTGCTACCCTGACGATGACCGACAACAATCCGTTATATACCGCTGCCTACAGGCTAGTCCTGCTCGCTTTTTTCTATCATTATTTTTATTGAGGAGTTTTTTTCTCGTGTAAAATTAATCCAAGCATTTTTAACTTTTTGTCTGGATTTCTTTTTCACCCCTCACCAATCATGTTTCTCAATGGACTACTAATTCAGAAACTATGAATTGCATTTTGTAAATATTCGGCCTGCCTCGTCTAAAACTCACATGTAAATTTATTTTAAGCTGCTTTGATGGGACCCCGACGGGTCTTTAATAAAAATTATCTATCTTAAAGGACATCTTGATGCGCATCTACTACCCACACTTTGAATATCTGACACCATTGTCTTTCTCTTCGGACAAATGGCGAAGGAGTTTTGCCAACATTTCAGCCTCAATTTTTAGGCATTTTGACGCCTTGTGGTCTCCAAGCATATCTGAATAAGTCTGAAGCATGCCGTAAAGTTGTCGTCTTCGTCGCTAACACATACCAAAACCATTAACCTCTCTGACCGTTTGGTGAGTGGTGATTTAATAGTTGGAAACTTGATACTGTGGCCTTAACAAAATATTCAATGCTCATTCTACCTTTTTTGGTTCGCCTGATGCAATTCATTGGTCTACTGGTTTCCACACCTGTCGTGTCGCTCTGGTACGGCGGGTCGATTCAACTTCTGGACGAACATTTCTCACAGTTCCCGAGTGTATCTGATTGACTATCACTATTCAATACATAAAGGCCTAGTAAGAGTTAATTGACGAAATCAATGGAATGAGGGAAATGGAAAATGACCCAACCCCTCTGGATTTGGGAAATATAGCGTTGATGTTGTCAGAAGAGTGATTAGAATGGAATTGGCGATTTTAAAGAACTTCCGCTCGTAGTCTCGTATTGATCGAAATATGTCCCGCTTAAATAAGCAACTAGCTTGTTTGCTGATTACAAAGAAAAAGTTATTTCTCGGATGACATTCAGTATCGAGTGTCAATTTAAAGCAGAGTGCGTCTTAGCTAACCGTTGTATCCCCTAGAAAGAGCATCATACGTCTCGACCTGCAAACTCGTACCTTGCATCTTTTCAACTCGTAACAAAAGCACTCAGTCAATTGCCTATTATATAAAACATGTGCGTAGACCATGAAGAAATTCCGCATTTTTTCTTGATTTTTGTTTGAACAGTTTAGGTAATGACAGTCTTCTCACCGCCGCACTTTTTAAAGTTTGCTTTGACTTATCTCTTGGTGGATGGAAGACAACGTGCTAGCTGCCCCGGATGTGCTGTGCCTAGACGTCAGATCGTTTGATTTGCTTTCAGAAAGCGAAAAAAGATACTTGTACGCTCTCGATGAAGTGGCTTGGATTGGTGCTCTGATCGATCTTATCCAATTGTCCCCGGAGGCTGCTGGGATATTCTTGCTGTCACAGCACGTTTTTCAGAAGCAGACTGTTTCGGAAATTAATGATTTGGCTAAGTCTAACGGCATCCAAACTGAAGATTTTAACGCTTTCATTGCATACTTCGCGTCGATTTACGGAAATTTAGGAAATTACCTGTCTTTTGGCGACACGAAATTCATTCCCGCTGTTAATCGTGAAGTGTTTACCGACATTATCGAACTGACAGACGCGTACAAGTCCTCTGAGATTGTTAGAGAAATCTTTGAACGCGTGATTGACAGTATATATTCAACTCATCCTGGGCGTCTCCGCCTGGCGTTTCCTCCAGAAGGCATGACAACATACTACTCGTCAAACTGCACCCGGGCAGATGCTGAAATTGTCCAGTCTTTCCTAAATTCGAAAAAAATGGAAGCGTATAACACTCGTTTAGTGAAAAGTTTTGAAAAGGATGCCAAGGGTCGAGACAATTACGCACTGCTTGTTGCTTCGGCCGAGTGCAGGGAGGAGGAAATTGAGAACTCCGGCTTACCGCACTCTTCGACTCTTAAAATACGGTACGGCGACTATCATGAGCTCATGCAATTAATTGTTTCTGGTATCACTGCGGTTAAAGCAGCTGCTCTTAATGACAATCAGAAGAAAATGTGGAGTGAATATCAGCGTAGTTTTCAGACTGGCTCTATTGAAGCACACAAAGCTGGCTCAAGGCACTGGGTAGCCGACAAACAACCGGCTGTAGAAAGCTATATCGGTTTTATTGAGAGCTACCGCGACCCATATGGCGTGCGGGGAGAGTTTGAAACCTTCGTCGCTGTCGTCGATAAGGACGTGTCAGCAAAATTTCAGAGCCTCGTTAACTGCGCGTCGTCTTTTCTGCCCCTCTTGCCTTGGCCTTCAAGCTATGAGAAAGATGTGTTTTTGGAGCCCGACTTCACTAGTCTGGACATTATGTCATTTGCCACCTCCGGGCTGCCAGTTGGCATCAATATACCTAATTACGATGATATTCGCCAGGATATCGGTTTCAAAAACGTCTCTCTCGGAAATATTCTAAAAGCGCGTTTTCAGGTAGGACTCTGTTATCATAATTTCTTGCCTGGTATTTTTTTAGCTAATCCTGAAATGGTGGTCTTCCATATTTTCTGCCAAAGAAACCCGTCCATTCTGATGATACTAAATATCCCGAGAAATCAGTCATGACTAAATCGGATACCTAGCCAACGCTCAGCATAGTTAGCAGAAGTACAGTGACGGTTTTTTTACATTCATGACATCTTTTCGATATCTGCAATTTCCTCAGTTCTTATCCATCACGCATCGCTAGATGTTGTCTTGTCAAGTTTTTTATCAATTAGAGATTTGAGTAAGTGCGCACGGACTCACTTTCATGTCATTTCGTCTTGCTGCTTCGCGGTCCATGTTCATTTGTTCATCGGCTAACGTACCGTTGGCATTTCCTCCCACCTCTGCGGATGCCATGTCCGCGTTTTGGTGCTATACCATGTCCTTCCAGACTCTTCATCGTATAACCGCACTCCTGCGGCGAATTTCCTACCGCTCTATATGGTTTGAACCCAGAGGCTGTGGCTTGTATTTCTGATATCGAGAACCAAATTCAACTTATCACTTAAGAACACTTTTCTAATTTAGGACCCCACAGCCACCTTCCTGTGTGAAAAGGACAAGCAGTGCTATCTGACAAACGTTGGTCAGGCGTTTGAAATACAAGTTGGCCTTCATGAGCTCCTAGGCCACGGATCAGGAAAACTTTTCAGGCGTAAAGACGATGGTTCCTTCAACTTCCACAGCTCCGTCCGAGATTTGCTAACTGGAGGTGACCTTACATACTGGTTAGTGCTTGAGCCGTTTGGGGCCCCTTTGGATTGGTTGTGCTTACAATTCTAGGTACTTTATTTACATTTACATTCACAATGTAATCAATACTCCCCAAAGTTGGAATAGGAACGTGGAACTGAGACACTTCACGTGCTTTCTTTCGTGTTGTCCAAACTGAAAAGTGACCGTTACTTTCTTTTTCTAGTGTATAGGCAGTGCTAGATTCTCGTCAGTTACTCATCGACAGTATAAGTTAGTTTACCCCAGGATATCACTGCAGACACTTTTTTCAATTGTTTAAGCAAAGTAATAATTCCCGCACTTTCCGTTCTCCTTATACTTGATGTTTTAACCATTTTAACAGACTCTCAAAGCACCCACTCGAATCCAAAAAACGGACTTTGTATGCTGGCATCGATGTTATTATATAGCCAGCAGAAAGTTGGTAGTGTTTATAAATACCTGACCTCACCCAGCATTACGCGGCCATTCCTTTAGTCATTCGCTCAGGTAAACCCTGAGGCCCATGTATATATAGTCTTTGCAAGAGACTCTAGGTTCAATAGACCCTGCAAACTTGGCATAAAGTGTGGATTTCAGCACTGCTTTTCTTAGGTATGGGCAATTAAATGAAGGGTGCCAACCGGAACAAACCAGTAAACAAATTTACCCCTCAGCCATACGTTGTTTAACTCACGAGGACGAAGCAACTACTTGCCACTTGCTACACTCCCTTACGTGACAAATTCCTGACCTTACTAGAATCTCGGTTTTCCCTCTTGCCGGTAGCCACCATTAAACTCTCGTGCAGTCGCCTTAGGGATGCCGTTTAATCGTCTTAATGACTCGCTAGCCTTCTTGAGCACTCTGCCATCTGATAAAATTTGCTCCGATTATTTAATTTTCTGCTTCCAACCCATGACTCCTGATCAATCGCGATGTTTTATGCCTTGACTCAAATCCCTAGCATTCAAGCCTATATCCGTATTGCAGCGTACTTCAGAATCACCTGTTTGCTGTTTATTTTTACATAGTCTATTTGGCTGTTTGTTACATATTGGAAAATGTTTGCTCTAAATGAATGTCTTCATCCGTCCTGCGCCAGTTTCTCAATCTGCCAGTCCCTTCCATTGAAATTAAGGGATATTTCGGATAAATTTGCAGGTATGAGCCAGGTGAGACATGGGATTCAAAATTCTCCAGCCTCGCCTCTCCCTTCGAAGAGTGCCGGGCAGAGTGCGTAGGCATATACCTATGTGACGTTGCCGATGTCCTCAAGATCTTTGACCCAGAGAACAAATTCATCTCCGGAGATGTCGTTTATATCAACTGGCTTTCGATGGTTCGTTCCGGACTTATGAGTTTGGAGTTCTTTACTCCCCCAACAAGTAGCGGCGATTCCGGTGCCTGGCGTCAGGCCCACTGCCAGGCTCGATTTGCCATTTTCAAGGTGGGTGAACACCTTGCCCGTATACATCCCGATAGAAAACAGTAGGATTATAGTGAACGCAACTGTGGTTTTGCTACTTTAGGATTGGAGTCAATTTGAGTTTTTCTATTTTGGCGTGCGCAGACCGAAATGAGGGTTCTTGACAAGTTTTACAAAAAGAACTTAGCAAAGAGTGTCCCTAACCAAACGTCTGAAATTGCAAGCAGGTCATCTTGGCTGCGATACTGTGTTGTCTGATGGTGGAGGAATAATCAATTTCATTTATAAAAGATGTTTGCGGTCTTTCAGACCAAATGTTTATTGCTTGTTCAGGATCCGACATGTCCGACACTTACTCCCTAACTAAAATATAACTGTGAGAGGATAACCACACTTGACACTCGGTTACTGAAGTACCTTAAAGGGACACAATATTTGAAGTTGCTTCGTCTTTTGCCAGCAGGATATTTCCTTACTGAAATTGAATATTTTCAAGACGTCTTCTTGGTTATTTGGATGAAAGACACTGCCGCATGAAATGTACGGCGTGCGAACTCACTACTGGAGACAAGAGCATGGGCAGATGGGTAATTTGGGATCAAGTCGATAGTCTGCCGGGATAGCAATTGATGGTTCGGTTAGGACAATCCCGAAAGAGGCTACTTGACTGGATACTGACCTCCCACTGCGGTCCGAATGCACTAACCGGAGCCCATCACCTTCAAAGAATCTCATCGCCTCGACATCAATATATCCCTAAGTAAACTTGACCACCACGTCTAATCCGATAAAAACCTCTTGTTGGTTGACATCTTCGTTGCCTTCTCTCAAATTTCTCCCCACTGGGTAGATTTCGGAAGCCTCATCATGGAAGGCCCCATCGAGCATATAGCCCGTGCGACCCTATTGAGCGCCGGGCCCGCTCCGCTTCCCGAGTTGAATCCAAATTTTCCTTTCTCACTTATAGCGTCTTTTATGAGTCGAGAGTTATTTTCGCAGTCTGCTGCTGTCGTTTTAGTCAGAGGAGACATGCCTACTTTATCACATTTTCCGTACCACAGCTAGCGTCTGGACTGGGCTGACCAACTTTTCTGTCGTTTGCGCTTCTATGCGTACGGTCTTCGTGGTATTTTTATGCTTACCGTATCCTTGTTGACAGGTCATCCTTGATTGCGACCCTCCTGTCCTTCAAATAGAGACGGTCAAGGGCGAGGACAAGAATCCCGACTTGCGTATCCACCTGGACAGGAGCAAGCTACAATCAGTAGCCAAGCCAGCGGTGGGCGAGTTCCTGCGGAAGTTACAGGTAGGATTATCTTTGATCTGCCTTATGTCATAGTGTACTGGGGCATCAAACGTGATACCTGTTGTCTTCTTTAACTGGAAGCGGACTTCTAAGGCCTTTGGTTGTCACAGGATCCGAAACACGGAATTCAAGCAATGTGGGCCTTAAAGCACAAGGAACCCTGGCCACCGTAGATGGAGAAAACAAATAATCCAAGAGCTAGGAGGACGTCCAAAAGTGTGAACTGTTTTTGAGAAACAGTCTAGCAAGTATGCCTGCCAACTGTTGGCGATGCCGAGTAAAAGAGCCAAACAGCATGGCCGTATGACTTGTGTCTATTATCTGGTGAACCCGTCTGCATCCATGACTCAAATTTGCATCTGACTGTGCAGCGTTCATCAGTAGTGCCCATTGAAGATCCAACGCGCCACTTATGATAATTGATTAAACTGTTCGAGCTTTCGACTGTTGTAACTGACACCTAACTGTAGTTTCGAATTGTAAGTTGCCCTAATTATGTAGAAACTACACTAGTAGGGTATTCACTTTTTATTGGTCAGTCCCTTCGTTGTTGTTTCGTTGTTGCTTCCAACAGCGATTTTGCTTTAGGATTTCGCCACGCGAACCACGTTCCTGCAATGCCGTTAACCAGATTTTTTACAGTGTACAATGCAACCGTGATTATGAAACACCTTTTTTACAATTGTTTAGTACTACAAGAGCACCGGAAACGTAAAAGATGGATCGACCTTTTTCCTCAACTACTGTACTCCAGCCAGCGAACACATGGAATGGCGGAAAATTGTTATCGCCCGCAAGAAGCCGCGACCTTTCTATGTGCAGCCGGTGACTTTTGAGAATGCGAACAAGACCATTACCTTGAAAAATTACCCGGGTAACAATGAGGGCATGATTCAGTCCTTTATCGACCGCTACTCCAGTCAGCGCAAATTTGGTCCAGCTGCATTAAAGGCCCTCAAGTCCGTTTGGGATCGCGACCAGGCCTACTTCTATCCACCGGTTGCAGAATAATGCGCCCCCCTCCGCCGACCTCGTATCTAGTTCCCCATCTTTTCGACGTTAACAATCCATCTGCTTTGCGTTTGAATTTTTCCAAATAGCTTTTCCCGTCTTTTTAACTTGTTCGTGAATGCAGCCGGCGCCTTATCCACCTTCACAACTGTCGTCGTGTGGTATGCAATGTCGTGCCGGGTGCGACACCTCACGACCTGCTTGCCATCGTGCCTGCGAACTACGGCCGTCGTAGCTTTCCCCATTCGGGATCAAACGCGCGGAAGTTGAGGCCCGATGCATAACGTTCGCCGTAGAACTAGTGTAGTCAATCCTCGCCTTATCGGCATTTCTAAAGCTCGTGGTAGTACAGTTACTGTACGCCTTGGCTACGGGGGGTTCTGGCCGCATATCACGAAGGATTTATCTCCAGCCTACGCGGGCGTCGAAGTTATATTTTAGTAATGCAATGAAGTTTTATGGTAAATGACCATTGGGTCAAATTCTTAGGGAGGTAGCTATAAAGACCTCGGGCAACTGTCATGCAAAATTTTTAAGTAGAGTACTATGTCTTGCGTAAGGGTATTTTTAATTCGTCTCAGGAAGCTGTCCTAGGTTTCCTCAATGCAAGCCTAACCAAGCAAACTGGGACACATTTAGGGACCTCGGGGCTGAAGGAAGTTGGCAAGGATGATTACATAAAGGATGCTTATTAAGTGTTACTTGATGAAGGCCTTTGACAATAAGGAAGTATGAGGCACTCGCGGGATAAGATGGTCATTCAGAGGATCTGGGACTGAGTCTTGCTTCTGTTAGTGGCTAATTGATTTAAGGCCACTAGTAGTCGGTAGTTCAGCGACTGTCGCTCAGCACATTCTGTATATTTACTAACTTCGAAATTGTTTCACTCACGTGCTCTAGATGTGGATGTCACTAAAGCAAGTTTGTGAGTCCACACGTGCATCACTCGAGAGGTTCACTATCCGCTCGCCTGCGTTGCCGGAGTAGCGGTGGGTACTGCCCGCGTCCTGGATGTGGATTTCGGGCAGATGGCCCTTTGTCTACGCTGTCTTAAATGCCATCTAAGTCGGTCGACGGCTGATTTTATTAATCACCTAAGGATTGTTCCCTAGGCGTCTGTAGTGCACCGACAGAGGGTGTTTCTTGGCGTGGAAGTCACTGCCACCGAAACGGAACACATAAACAATTACTGGACGCAGCTGAAGACGAGCATGTTTATGTGCCGTGTAGGTTTGTATCGTTTACTGAGCAGCGTAGTTCACGACCGTGCATGAGACCAGTTTAAGCGGCCTGATGTCAGAATTCTTTCTGGCGCTTGTCAGCGTATTTCAATAGGCATGTTAGGGTGGATGCTGGTTGTGGTGGCAGACTTTTTTAGATTATGCCTCCGAGGAGGAGATGTAGCTAGGAAATACTGGCATATCGGGTCATGAGTTTCTAGGGCCATCCAGTGAACGCCGCATAGTAATGCACGCTGAGGACTACCAAACTGGGTTCTAATACTTTTTTTAGTCTGAACCAATGGACAAAAAGGAGACGATAGTTCCAAACAGATACTTGGTTATGAGGCTAGGTGGCAGGCGTTGTCAGTGGGGTGACCGTGTTTCGCTACTGTAATGTAGTTATTACTCAGATGAGCGCTAGTGCACTGGGCGAGAGCGGGGGCCAGACCGACTCATGGCAAACGCTTATCGGACTGTACTGAGTCCGCGCGAGTCGTCACCCACTGTCGTGCATGCGTGTGGCAGGCTGTATGCGCAGCCCCCCACGCCACGCTGGCCACTGAGTCTAATCTCATCACCGGCTGTTTGAAAGACACCGAAAGCTGTCTGGTGAATAGGAGAGCGGTTGATGCGGCCTGAGTCGCCACTGTTACCACGTGGGGTGACGGTGGACGTCGTTACGAATGGCGGGCAATCGTGAAGCGTCACATTTTCGCTCACTCATCAGATCTGCTCAATGATGCACATACGTCATGGAAGGGCAGAAAGGAGTACACTTCAAACAATGACAGGTACCGAGGGGTGCCTCGGCGTGTTAGACGGGAGGAGACTACCCATCCGTGCTCGAGGCGTGTCTGTTTAAAGCATTCAGTTGTCATGACCAATACTGAATCCTCTTCCTTCACATTTGGCGCCAAACATACCCATCTGCATCTACCGTGAAACGCTAGGCCGATGAAAAGTCAACAAATACTTGCTAAACCATAATCTTTCCCCCCTGTTTGGCATGTCGAAGCGCCCACCACCCTTGTTTGTTTCCTTGCTATTCCATCCCAACCTGTTACTCTACGTGTCTCGTGAATAATAAAACAAATAGTTGCTGCACACAGGCCAACCAAAAGTTCACATGCGTGACATAAGTGCGAGGGTTTAGGTACATCATTGGCTTCCACAGCATTCCGGGTTTGGCTATTGGTATAATTTCAGTTTTGAAAGTGTAGCACAGCATGTAGTTGTGGAGTTGACTTGTAGTTAAACCGGTCCGATCGGAATTCTGAAGTCTTAAAGTCAGAAAATGACTAGATACGACTCTTGAGCATTGATTGAGTCGACAAATACCTAGATTGATTATGGAAATGGAGACATTGCATTCTTTGAAACCACCTCACTGTAGTATTTGAACGTTAACCTGTTATTAAAACAGTATATCCAAAGCAGTACTTTGGAGTATAACAGCTATCCCACCTATAAGCACCTGCACGGGTGGGTCGTTCACAAAGATCTCATCTGCCTCCTAAAGATTGATAGTTGCCGAGAGTATTTGTTCCGTGTTCCACATTGGTGGTTTGTACTAGAGTAATCCATTGGCTTTCATCCTTCACGACTCCCTACTAAGCCTTTGGTCGTTTAAAAGCTATTATAAACGTCGAAACCCATGACAAGTAAGCTGAAATCTTGAAATATACCTTCGAGCAAGAAGTGCCCTTTGCGCCTGCATAAAATTGATCTGCCGAGGACGTATTTCCATGTAAGTGCGAACAGCAGCATGCCAACCTTTTGTTTACAACTCAGTAAGGTGTCCGTTTCAATTAGAGGGCAGAAGTTATCTAAGCAAGATAAAGTCCACTCATGGAGACCTGAGGTTTTTATAAGTTCTATCATAGCTCATAGGGAGCCGCGTAAATTTCACTGCGTGTACACATTTCGCAAAATTGAAGGTAGGCCTTCCTGTTGTAAAAGAGGTTTGCCAAGTCACGTATTTTTGCAACAACCTGTATTTCCACTTCCTTCGTAGATGGTACACATCAGTAAATGTCATTCTACTCATGGTACTGCAACGTAGTTGGGGTCACATGGTATGAGTCATGAGTGGCTGCGCAAGTGTCACAAACGTTCTCAAAATGGCACCTCGGAAAGAAATACCTCCTAATTTAATCATGATATTCGAAGACCATATTTTGTGGAGGGTTAGCACAGGAATGAACATGCGTGCATTTCTCTTCGGAGAAGATGCAAATAGATTTACTCGGGACCTGAAACCAGTGGAGAAAATTGCACAACACTCGAGTAATTTTGGCAGGCGGAGGAGAAAGTGCTCCATCATTAACCAGCACACTAACCGGCAGACACCGATACTGACTGAGAGTAATTGGGTTTTTAAGCTGCTATAAAATATGAACCAACTAACTGTTGTGTCTACGATGCTTTTTATTCCACCATTTGTTACCCTGTTCCCAGATGACATCATCACTGCATAAATCAACTGCGCAACGTGCGTTTCCAGTCCAATCATGCTGACTGAGCAGTGAATTGTCTGTTATGAAAATTGCATTGCTTACTTTTGCCAGTTGTCATCTCCTTTATTCCATTGTTTTATCTCCCTTGGAGGTGAAGAAAGTCTTGAAACAACAAATTTGCCATTGCTTGCCGCATGAGATTTGAAGAAAAAATACTACTACTACTACTACTACTACTACTACTACTACTACTACTACTACTACAGAAGCCGTGAAACACATTGAGTTGATCCCGATGGAGGTGAAGCTCGCTGTGGTTAAAAATGCCTTTAAGATGCAAATCGTAGTATATCTGGCAAGCTTCGCTGTGGAAGACGACCCACTCTGAATGAGGCTGTTAAATCCGGCCCACGTAAAAGCATTAGAAATTTGTTGCAAAAGGTATCATATTCAACTATCCACGAACATTCCACGCGAATTGGGTAAAACATGCCAAGAGGGTATTTAGGTTCCGTATGAGCTTACACTTGAGATTCAGACACATCCCACCATCTGCAGCAGTCTTCTGACCAAAAGTATCAGTCTGCCATTTCTGCATCGCATTACTGAATGTGATGAAAAATGGCTTGTACATCACTACAGAAAACGGGAATGACAGTGGATATCACGTGGCTGGAAGGCAGTGTCAACTCCATAACCATGACTCCGTCAGCAAAAACCCTTGCTCGGCGTTCGGTAACACATGAAAGGTACCACCCATTATGCGCAACTGGAAAGTGGAGGGACCGGTAAGGCAGATGTCTACTGCAAGCGACTAGATCGTCTAGGTGGAAAATTACGCCTAGAGTGCCCTATCTTAGAAAACAGAGATGTTATTTTACAGTATAACAATACAAGGCCACACGCCAAAAGGTAAGATCGCCAGAACTTGGGGTTTTTCCACATCTTCTATAGTCACCTGGCATCGCCCTTTCTTTCGATTTCTGGAACACTTTGTAGGATTAAAAACATTCAGAATCGGAGAGGAAGTTAAAAACCATCCCGAAGACTTCCGGAAGAGGCAGATTTCTTCGGACATGTCATCAAAAATTGTCTTCTCGTTGGAAAGCTGCCCTTGAAGACGATAGTGACTACATTCTTGGTCAAAACTATTCAAGCAAACGTTGCTTAAATTCGTTTTTATAACCTGCTTCCCGAACACCCTTATGGGATGAATCACCGAATTTGGCGAAACCAAGCTCTGCACGTCCCTTTTACCTCCGTAGGATAATACAGCAGCTAGATAGACCGTCAGTAGGGATGAGTGCCACCCACGCTCCGC